GGATAATTTATTTACTATTATATTACATCTAATAACCAGAGTTCTTTGTGCGGTTTACAAAGTCTTTTAAAAGAATAAAATAGTGAAAAGGTTAAAAATACAGTAAATATATCAATAGCACAGGAAATAAAATTCTACAAAAGCATGTATTACATTATAATGCAGGTATTTAAAATAAAACTATCAAAATTTACATTCCTGGAAGAGTATGCCTCTATAAAGCTTCAAAGGGTTGATTCAACTCCTAAAATTCAAACTGATTTTCAAATCAAGTGCATTTTAATCACTTTGAAGAGATTCAAAGGCAATCCAGAGATCAGTGAATATCATGGTGCTTTCTAATTTTGCAAAATCTGAGTCATGATTGTAGCTTTCTTTCCATATTTAGCCAAAGGAGGGAGATGGGTTGAATGGCATAATAGGCTCTCTGATATTGATGAGGCACTAATTAATTTTATCACCTCCATTAATTTACCTATCAGAGCACTTGAGACAGTGCTGCTTTGCTGCTTGTGTCTCTCAATGTTCCGTTAGGATTTGTTTAGGCAGGTTCACTTGGAGAAAGAGACACACCTGGATTCATTATTTTGCTTTTTAAAAATCTGGTTTGTTCTTTCTACATTTCTTCAATTCAATACTCTTTTATCCTTCTTGTTCCCTAGCTTTCTATTTATCAAATATGTGGTACAGATGCTGTTAGGCTCTTTTCATCTATCTGCAATTAGCTTTCAGTACTGATATCACATACCAACTAGTCTTGAAATCTTGTACTCCGTTTTGGACTTGCTGTTTTTTGAATCTCCTTCAAAGTTAGTCTCACAGTATTTACCAGAGCACGTATAATGATTGTGGGTGGCAGATGGTATGTCTGCTTGAGCTGATAAAAGGCCCTCCTTATCACTGAAGCTATACGTGCTTCCAGTGGAATCAAGAGCACCCCAAATTGCAAACCTGATTTTTTTTCCCTATTGGAAGCTCAGCACTCTTCCAAAAGGTGAAACACAACTCATCTGGGCAACTGGACCACGCAATAGTACTTCCATATGGATTGAGCTTTAACTTAAGCCTTGTTAACTTATCCTGCTCAGGTGTCAATTCGGAACATCCACTGCCTCACCTCGTTAGGTGAAAAGATGAGGTAACCCTTGATATTATCTCCATATCGATGACAACCAGTTCTCTTCTAGAACTGGTTTCATAGAGCTAGTTAATAATATTATGCATGCATATGTGTGTATGGGTGGAGAAGGAATTGAGCAATAAGTAGGAATCTTACCCCAAGTAAGCTATTTCAGAAGGATACAATTCTTGATTATGTTAAAACTACTATCAGGGTTGATAGTGGAAACATCAACCCCGAGAAACATCAGGGTTGAATTCAACAATGAAGGCAGTTACTGCCCCAGAACTAGACATAGAACTGATCTGAAATGGATCTAGAACAATGTAATCTAAGTGCTGGAGTTGGTTTGCAACCACTTACTGGAACATCTAATCCAAGGAAAGGGTGTTAGCAACTGGCTTGAAGGCTTTTTTTTTTTTTTCTGTGTTCGTTTTCTTCAGAAGAAGAAATAATAGTCCAATCTGGAGAATGTCTAGTTCAAGAAGGCTGCTATAGCACAAGAAAATTTATGCAGCAGACCGTATGCCTCTCCACTCCAGCAATACGTGCTAAGCATATGCATTCAATCTGCAGGTTTCAAAATCTGCAAATGGAAGAAAAGGTGCTTCTTTGGTGTATAAGTACACATATGAGAAGAGATAACATTCTGGAGCAAACAATCTTATCATCTCACTGCATCCTTTCAGGCTTGGCTACCTAGTTTGTCCATTTGTAGAATGAGTGTCTGAGATTGTGATTAGGTGCTTCTGCTACTATAGCCTAGATATCACACTGAAATAGGTATGTAACAATTTTGTGGGGGGGTTGTCTTTGTTTTGGGTAGTTGATTAAAAAATAAATTAAGTGTTCTACCAAGCCCCAGCTTTTTCTCCTGCCTGTTCACTCAAGGGTGTAGGCACTGCCAAAAAAAAAGTTAAAAGCAGAGTTTCCACTTGTCGTCTCCTCCTGGGTGAGGAGCAAGAGAACAGATCTAGGGGAAGGTTCTTGGCTTCAGAGCCTCTAGACTCTGGTGTCAAGTGTGCATACACCCAACCAAAGAGAACGTTACTCTATGAAGGAGGTGCTTGTCACTGCATTGCTCAAGCCTCTATGGCTATACAGAAAACTTCAGATCACCAGGAAGTTTAAAACATTTGCTTTGTCTATGCTGGGGTGGGAGATTTTTTATTTGATGCTTTAAACTTTTTATATGTTTTTTATAACTAGGAAAATGTGTTCAACCACTAGCACTAAGATTTCTTTTATGGTAACTAGGTAGCTCTAAATTCAGGTTTCTGTTGCAATATCAAGCCATGTCCTCCTTTTTAGACCTGGTGATTAAATAATGCATTGGGTCTGTAACAACAATCTTTGCCCGCTATATTCAGTAACTGATGCCTACTGATAATGCTGGAATTTTCAGTCCTTCATCAAAATGTTTTTTTTCATATTTTGCTTAAAGCAGCAAGCCATAAGGAACTAGATCATGGAAAGAGTTCAACAAGTATTTGATTCATGTGTGAACACAGCAAGTAGAAAACATCAAGAGGGCAATAGTCAATATTATTTCTGTCCAAATTAGCCCTGGTTTGAATTAAGACATTTGAGAGAAGACATGATTCAATATGAGTTTATGATCCAAGAGTCAAGGGCAACCAGATTCAATCTGAGACACTTCAAGGTTTGTTTGAAAGGAAGTCTGGTACATGACCTATAATGGGGAAACTTCAGAATACCTGCTGCTGCTTCATTTTGTGGCAGAATGTGATGAAAATAGCAGAGATGGTAGCCTTTTTTAGGACAAAGATAGCAGGGGTGAGAACAGTACATCAGCCTCAAAATTTTCCAGCAGAAACCCTAAACAGAAGTTGGTTGAACTCAATGCAGAAAGAATCCTCCCCCAATTTGAAAATGCACTTTGCGGTCTTAAATAAGAGGATCCTTTGGGATGTCAGGAGAGTTGGTGTATCTGTTTGGTAAGAACCCCTTCATTGCCAGTTTCAGTGCCAAACTCTGTAGGGTACATTGGCAAAGCAACTTTCTATGGAAGACTCCAGTGAAAGACCACTGACTTGCCCTTGTGGGATGGTATAATCTTGCTGCCTCTGATAACTGGGATTTTTGGAGTACAAGAGTTGGCATGGCTCATTTACTTATATATTTTCCACATTTCTACCTCGCCGCAATCCAGAAACTCTCAGTGGCTTACATAGAACTTAAAAACCCAGGAAATAAGCACCATGTAACAACTATAAAAACAATAAAACACCCCCCCCCCAACAGAAAGCTACAAATAAAAACAGAAAATGAAAATGGCTCATTAGTAAACTTGGCCTCTTGTTTAAGGATTCTCTCATCACTGGCTTTAATGAAATGCCAGGCTGGACATAGCACACTGGCAAGTCTAGAATGTCTGGGTGCAATGAGGGTTGGCATTACAAATGGCAAGTTTGACCCCTCCTGGAAAATCCCCTCCCCACTTGGCAAGACTCAGCTATATCAGGGTCATGGCTGGCTTGCAATAATCTGTGTTAGCAGAAGCAGAATGGCCCAGCAAGATACAACGCCCCAGATATAGTCAAGCCATAAAGAAATAGGCAGGAATTTGTAGCCTTTTTACCCTGCGCCTATTTTAGAGCAATAAAAAAATTGGGCCAGTTGATAGTTGAGCACCCACTCGTCATGGTGAAGAGACTTAAACATACCCCAAGAGGCATAATTTAAAAGTTAGGGCAGCCTTCAGCATATATTGAGAATGCTAAAAGCTGAGCTGTGCTCTGAGTTGTGATGGCAGGACCAGCCTAGAAGTATAACATGGCACGGGTAGAAGAAAGAACACTGTTAGGGCTTATGGCCATTTTAAAGAAATTGAATGCTGAGAAAGTGAATGAAGCCCAATGTAATATTAGCCTTCCCATTGCAAAAGTGCCGTGGCAGACAGGTTAATGAGAGATGAAACTGAGTGACAGGCAACCTACATTAATGTCAGAGGGCCCATCACATTGTTCCTACCCTACTTCACCTCACCCTTTCATATTCTCCATACCTGGGACTGAGACTGCAGTATTGTCTACCTTGTGTAACAATCACAGAAGCAACCAGGAAGCCATCAGATATACAAAGTGCTTTGAAGTCTCCTGTTTCAAGTTGCTGAGTTTGACTAGCAAATCTACTTGAGTACGATGATTTGCCTGAAACTTTGTGGAAAAAGCACTCCTTCAAAGCAATGCAAAAATGATACTTATGATTTTATGCTTATTTTATATGCTTTAATTGAGCCTTTTATTGCTTTTTGCCTTCCTACTATGGTAAACCACTACAAAACAGCTGTCCAGGTTTTTAAGAACTGCATTTTTTCAAGTAGACCTCTGCAACAAGTCAATTCTAACAGGAACGAGTTGCAACAAGTAACACAATTGGTTTTTTAATTTTTTTATTATACAGAAGGCAAATAATTGTTCTTTTGGGTTTTTTTTTTTTTAACAGAATTCCATTGTTAAAACATTAATTCTAATTACAGTAAAATCTGAATATTCCACTATGAATAAAAGTAATGAAGTGTATCACACTATTGCATGTGTATAGATCTGTATAGACTGTTGATTTTCCAATGGCAGGGAGAATATTACTCTGAAGCTAGTATAGGTGTTCCTCACTTGAGTAGTGAATCTGCTATGAATGGACCCTATGGGGTTTTTTTTAGGAGATACCATCTCCTCTTCTTGATCAAGCTCTGGGGGTAACCAGTTCCATGTGAATACAACAAAATAACTCTGAACACAAGAGAGATGATGCAATAGATGGTGTGATAGTGACCTCCTTTACCTATACATACAACACAAGGAAAATAGGAAAAGAGGGATTGTCTGTCTAAAATGGAGA